CTTAGTTTAATGAATTACATGAATTTTAATTCAAAACAATACTAGAATTATATACTAGAATATACTAGAGTTATTATTGATATACGGCATTGGGATAGTGGATTTTTTGGTGCATCCTGGTGCACAAAATCGGTTTCAGTGGGCTTTCGTTACATTCCGTATCCCGTTATCCTTTGCCACCTATCTAACCGTCCATTGGGCTAACCGTCTGGCCACGCGTAACCGTAACTAAACATTTGCATTAGGCGCCGTGCCGCAGAAACCGCTAAACAGGCAGCTGGCCCCCGGAATGCAAACAGTTTAAATGACAGCTAGCGGCGGGGATTCGGGATTGGGATCGGGATTCGGGGCTTTCGGCCTGTCGGTTAAATAAATTTTGTGGCAAATCGCAAAATCGCCAAAAGGGCAAGCCCTGCTGCGCGATGCCGCAATTGGCAATCGACGCCACAAATCGCGTTTTAAGCCCTGCGTGCGATTAGTTTAATTGCCATCGAAGGGGGCAGGTTGGCAGGATGTTGGTGCAACAGGACAATGCAACATTTGCATAGCGGTCGCTGTGGTCCTCGCACACACCAAACGCAGGGACTCGCTTTCGCTTAATGCGAAAATAAGGATTAACCAATGAAATTTATAAATGCCCAGCTCTCCAACAACCCGGCCCACTGTAAATTGAGTGCATAAATTGGCCGCATCGTCCGTTTGTCCAGCCAACTGGGAGAACTGGGAACTGCGACCAGGACAGGCAATCTATTTTGGATTAAATCAAATCGAAATAAACGATTTTTAATGGCCTGGCTGCCGTTGTCCCTTGTCCGTTGCGTTTGTCCGCCCGTTGTCCTGGCTCTTGGCACAGTGGCAAAAACGAGGTCATTAATTATTTCTTCAAAAGCAAAAGATAAGCCCAACCAGACCGCCCCACCACCCAGATCCAGATCCTGACCCCTTCGAGGGTTCGGCTCTCGCATCCTTTTTGGCGTTTTGTGTCATTAGCTTAAAACCGTAACCAGAAAGGACGCAGGACAATGGTCAACCGGCACACACACACACACAAACACACACGCATTATCCTCCATGGCGGCCGCATGTGGCACCAAAAGATTAATTAATCTTTAAGGACTCATTGTGCGGTGTTTTTGCTGTTGCAACCCACTCCACTCCCCACTCATTAGGACGGAACGGACTGAAGGACAGTTGGACAGGACATTTGCATGTGCAGCGACGCAAAATGAATTTATGGCCTGGTCCAAACGAAACAAGGGATTTGTGAAATCTGCCTCTAAATGAATCTCAACCCCCCCTCGAATTCTTGGGATCCCTGCTCACTAAGCTAGACATTTGTCAACCACACTTCCTTCCTCTTCTTGTGGCATTTATTTTGATTAGCCATTGACATTCATTTCTATTTGTTGCTTTCTTATCGTAAGCCGCCCATCACCATCATCATCGGGATGACCAGTAAAGTCTACTGAGAAGCCATCTTCCTCCTCCCATCTTCCTGATTACTGTGGCACGCAACTTGGGGATGCCACACATAGTTTCATCTGCCACGGGAATTTCGTTTCGTTTGTCAAAGTTTCACGTATAAAATATTTACAGCTGATTATTTGCCCAGGTTAATGCCTTTCTGTTAGGAAAACGAGAAGGGGGGAGGTCCTGGCATTAAGTGGAGCGACAAAGTTATCCTTTGATGCGCTCGGGCGGCATTCCCTCTAATTTATTAGCTGGCACACGTGAATTATTGCTGCGTCTGAGAGTTTTCAACTCTTCGACTTTGACTGGCAACTGGGAATTGTTGTGGCTCCCAGTTGGGGGAATGGGATGGAGGCTGAGCTACTGGAATAGCAAACCAAACTACTGCGACTTGAGACCCTTTGGAATGGGAAGATCCTTTGCCACCCATGTTCTCGGAAATATAATTATTTTTGGTGGCAAAATACATTTTCTATTGCCTGGCATAAAGGTCTTAAACTTTAAATACCTAGGTTACTGAAGTTCAGAAATAATATATATAAAGTAAATGTATAAGGAAGAGGATGTGCAGGTCTTTAGAATCTTTAATTCGAATTTTGGTTTTAGGATGTATAAGTTGTAAAATTTTTAAAGAGCTCTTTAGGCTAGTTAAACCTAACTAATTTTAATAATTGGGTATTGGGTTTATTTAGATCAAGATGTAATACCGATAAGAAAGTTCCTGAAAAAAATATTTAAAAATTAATAATTTGTAACATTTAACAACATAAGCTCCTAGAATTGATTAATTTATCCTTTCATGCATCGTTTAGTTGGCTACTTGTGTGTTAACCAAAGGTGTAAAATGTAAAACAACCGTGGGTTTATTGAAAACAAAGTTCCTGAATAAATATTTAAAATAATGTTTAACATTTAACAAGAACAAACCTCAAGGTATCATTCATTTAACCTTTGACTTCATGCATCGTTTGCTTACTAAGTAAGTAGTGGACATTACTTAAAAAGTTGCCTACACAGAGAAAATTATGCAACGTTTTAGGTGCCGTTTTCATATAAAAACGTTTTAAAAATAAAAATGAAAACGTTTTAAAAATGCAAAGTAAAATAAATTTGTATGAAACGTTTTACTTTTCAAAATGTTTCACCCCTTATTTTGCACCTAAAACTTTTGATAATTTTCTCTGTGTACTTGTGTGTTAACCAAAGGTGTAAAAAGTAAAACAACCGTGAGTTACGTTCCGCCGGTTAATGGTTAATGGTTAACGGTTGATGGTAGTTAATGGTAGACCAGCTTAGTGGCTCCCGCTTTTAATGGGCCAAGTTTACGGAACGGAAACTAGAGAGCCACACTTGGAGGCCAAAGGAGTTGCAGAGTTGGCTGTTAAAATGATTAATGACGTGTGTGTGGCATGCACGTTAACGCCCTCGCGAGTGGGCGAAGTTGGGGGGAAGTTAAGGAAGAGGAAGCCGGGACAGATGTTGTCATAAATAAAAAGAAGCTGAAAAGAAGATGAAGATGCCCGTGGGGGGTGGTTGAACTGCTGGTTGACTGGGTGAATGGGTGGCAACATGTAAATAAACATACATGTGTGCGCAGTTATTTATGCATGTGTGGGCGAGTCTGTTTGGGCCACATTAATGTCAAATCAGCCGCATAAATTGCGTAAAACGCTCAATTTATTAAACGAAGCATGTGGGGGGCGGAGGACGGAGGGCGTGGCCGTGACAAGTGTATTTGCCAGTTAATAAATGTCGCAATCACTGGGGAGCATTCCGCGAATCCACCTTTTAAATATGAAATGGAGCGAAAAAGGAGGATGACAAGGAGGCTGCATAGTTAGGTGAGGACTTCGACGCCTGGCGCATCCTTTCGCATCCTTTCACTGAAGCGTCCTCCACTCGAGGACGAGAATTGGCGCCCCGCCTGCCCAAGTGCCAATTGTTCAATTCAGAAATTGCCATCAATCGATTTGGCTTATTGTGCCGGAATCATCGTGGTGCTCCGCAATTCGGAGGAATAGTGACAAAGGCAATCACAACAGCGTAGATTCAGATATGCCCTGGCCAAAGGGCTCATAAAAATTTTAAATCGCTTTCACAAAGCGGCCAAGTCCAAGTCGACCGGTGAGCCACCCTTTTAAAGTAATAAACAGGAAAGTCTAAAAATTAAAAACACAAGCGCAAGTTTTAAGTAGTTCATTTATAAGAAATATCTTGATAAGACCATCCTACTTTTTCTTAAAAATAGCAACATATAAGATATCAAAAACTGTAAAATATAAAAAGAATATATAGTTTTATATAGTTTTAACTAAAAGTTTGCGTTAAATTATAATATTAATAATCTTAAAAAGTCTTCTAATGGCCGCGTTCTCAGCTCTGATAGTTTAAACCTTTAGTTTAACCTGCGGATGAGAAAACGGAATAACTCCAGGAAATATTATGTTCAGAAATTTGTGTTTCTTCTTTAGGTGATAAAAATATAGAAACTAATCCTCTGCTTTTCCCACATTCTCTTGCTGTAACTTTATTTTACAACTTTCAGTTTGTAGTTAACGATAAGTAGGCTTTAAGTTTAACCTGAGGTCCAGACAACGGGCTTTAAAATTTGGTAGGGCAAACGATGGTCGCATATTCCCCGGACTTGCCTTGGATTTGCTTGTTTCGCGTTTTGTTTCGCTCTCGTTTTGCAATTGCACGGAAGGACGAAGGACGTGCCGGGCCCTCTGTCTTCGCATGTGTGTGTGTGTAGGTGTCAAGGGTGCTGTTGTCCTGGCCGGGAAATCCCCACCCCACCCCGGGCTGGATTGCATATTTTGCTGCCTCACGAACATGAGCGCTCGTTAAACGGATGAGTTAAAAGTCAAAAGCCCTAAAGGATTTTATTTGAATTGCGGTCTGCGCCGCGCCGTTCGACGTCTCTCCTCCGGGAGCATCGCCTGCTGGCACCCCTTTCTCCCTTTTGGTCCTTTGTATGCCATGTTTTATTTAAAGTTTATCTTCGCCTTCGTCCTTTTCGCCCGCTCCTTGCGCCCCGCTATCCTGGCTTCACGCTAATTTCGCGCCAAGGCGAGGCAGTAAAAAATATGCGCAAAATAAAATGTGGAAAAATATTTTGACGCAAGATGGAGAACAAAAGGGTTTCGTTTCGTTTCGCTTCGTCCTTTCGTCGGCACGTCGCCGTTTCAAAGCCGTGTTGAAAAATATTTGAAATAATTGCAAAAATGTTTTCACAGGATCTCCCCAGGAGTTGCGGGGGCTTGTGTTGTGGGTTATTGTCTTACAAAGAAGTTTCCCCCTACCCCCACCGTTTACTTGTTCATGCGAAGCACGTCCTTGGACTGAAGCTTAGACTACGAGTCTGGCATAAGCAGAGCTGATCTGATCCCTGTGTCCGTAGCTGGCAGCCCATCAGAAACGTATGATTTAATAAGGACACGCTTACTCAGGTGGCTCGGCAGCTAAGAATACAAGGATCAGATCAGTTCTGGTTATATACATATATACAGGAGGTCCTGTGCCCCCTCAGAATGTCCGAACCGGCAGTGCCCGCCGAAGAGCTGTGCTCCACCATTTCGAACGCAGACATTTCTAGCTCCTCCAGCATGTCCCTCGCATCCACGGCCATCGACCTCATCCACACCGGTCTGCCGCTTCTCGAACAGAGCGCAGCCGACCTGGAGTCGCTGCCGGAGAAGCAGGATGCGGAGGCCAAGCAGGAACCGAAAGCAATGGAAGAAGCTGTTTTGGAAACGATAGCAGAACCACCAACAGATTTAGCTGCGGATGTAACAGCTGATTCCCCATTGGAACCACCATCGGAACCCCTTGCGGAACCACTACCTGAACCCCTACCGAAAACTCTACAGGAACCCCTGCTGAAATGCTTAATAGAACCCCTACCACAACCGGTACAGGAACCCCTACCGAAACCTCTTCAGGAATCACTACCACAACCTCTACCGGAACCACTAGTGAAACCTGTACCGGAACCTCTGCCGGAAAATACAACAGAACCTCTGCAGGAACCTCTAGCGGAAAAACAACCACAGCCCATACCAGAACCCCTATCAAATCCTTTACCAAAAGCACTACCGGAACCCCTACCGGAACCACCCCTACCGGAACCCCTACCAGAACCTCTACCAAAACCACTACCAGAACCACTACCAGAACCTCAAGAAGGTCGACCAGAGACGCCCGCTGGCAATCCGGAGAACCAGGCCCAAGCCGAGTCGCCTCCGAGCATCATGGACATCTCGATCAGCGCTCAGATGTCCCCGGACGCCCCCGTCTTCTATCCCATGGGCTCCTGTCTCGCCCGCCTGCTGACCAACGGAGGAGGAGGAGGAGGAGACTCGGGACAGGACAGTCCAAGCGTTCCGCGGATCTCGCCGCCACGGAGCGCCTTCGAATACGGAACTGGTCCGTATATCGGCCCAGGAGGCGACATCCCGCGCAGCTATCAGTTCATCGATCCAACGGCCACCGGCGAGCGGAACTTCAACAGTTTCGGACTGGGCATGGATGACCAGGAGATGGACGAACAGCAGCAGGCGGCGCAGCTGGCGGAAACACCAGGCGTATCGTGGGTGCCCTACTATTTCGGCAGTCCGCGAACGAGGACAACGGGCGAGGATCCTTTGTCGCCGGAAACGGGAGCAGCGAGGAGCAGGAACAACAGCAGGAGCCACTGCGAATGCAGAGGCGAGGCATCCGAGGTCGGGACATCCACCGAGTTCCCATCCTTCGAGTCCTTTGCCGGGCAACTGGACGAAATCGGTTTGGCCCGCGACGAGTTCATGGCAACGCTGCGCAATCTGCTCATCCGGGCGAATGACCTGTTGGCGCCGCTACTCCAGGGTCCCTTCCAGCACATGACGCCCATCCAGATGGCCGAGTATACCAGCGCCATTCTGGAGACGCCTCCCCTGCATCCGAGTCTCTTCATGCCGGCGGTAGGTTATCCAATCTTAGTTGTCAGAATCGTGATCCTAACTCATCCCTTAGAATGTGCCACGTCCCTGGACGGGGCTCACTGGTCTCAGCCTGCCCTACGACATCCATCCGCACAGCCTGACGCCCGAGGACTTGGCCCGCATCCAGGTAAGCTGCAGGTGCTATTCGAGGCCAGGTGTCACCGCCGCCAACGCCGCCCATCCCCCAGGCGCTGCCCAAGCCCGTGGATGCCGCCACCCAGACGGAGTTCCGCTGCATGTGCATGCTACTCTCGCAGGCAGGATCTGCGCCAGCATCCGGCGACCTGCGACCTCCAACGACCTCTTACTTCCCAGGACAAGCGATGAATGGACCACGAATGCGGGTTCCTCCGCAGCCATATGCAAACCCGGGAACTTCACAGAACGGACAGGCACAGCCGCAACCTCAGCAGCCCTACGGTTTCTGGGGCAGACCCATGCGTAAGTTCGGTTATCGAAAATATCGATAATGTCGATATATTCAAGCTTTTATTTTACTGCTTCCACAGCGATGGCGATGCATCCGCACCAAGTTCCGCAGCATCGCATGCCCCGACAGGCCGCCTTCCAGCATCCACCGCCGCCGCAACGGCATCCACATCCGCAAGCGCATCCGCAGCCGCATCCGCGCCCGGGAATGCAGCCCGGTCATCCGATGGCGCACCACAAGATGGGCGGAGCAGTGCGCTACCCGGAGGCTGGTAACTATCGTGGCTATCGGCTGCCTGGTCCCTACAGTCCGCGGAATCAGGCGAGTCGCTACGGCGCCATCGGCAGTGATCGTCCCGCCGAGAATAATGGTAATATTAATGGAAGGAATCATTACCAGAACTCCGGCTACCGTGGTAATCCACTCTATGCGAGAACAGCTCTCGGCAACAATCAACAGCAGATGGCTTCGGTTGCTCCGAATATCGGTCATCTCGGTAATCCCATCGGCAATCCTGTCCAGCCCATGGATCTGGGCATGCAGCTGAGATTGAATCTGAGTGCGGAGGAGGCGAATGCCAGCAGACAGGTGGCCTCCGACTCGTCGCGCACCGAGTCCTCGGCCACCGAGAACACCAGCTATCACTCGGAGCGCCGGGTGAGCGAGGAGAGCAGCTACGTGGAGGCGGAGGACGAGGATGGGGACAGCGAAGAGGTGGACTCCGAGGGGGAGGAGGACGAGGTCGAGGGCGGCGAGGACGAGGATGACGATGATGAGGAGGAAGAGGATGAGAATGAGAATGACGAAGAAGAGGATGAGGATGAGGATGAGGAGGATGATGAGCAGCCCCGTCAGCTGTCTGCTCCCGATTCCCGTTCCTACTGCTTCGGTGAGGTGGAGTTCATGAACTACGTCATGTCCGAGACGCCCATGCTGCCCAATCCCGGCCAGCAGCCAGGAGCCGCCGCCTATATGGAGCACGGCCTGCCGCCAACTCCACGCTCGAATGTGCCCTGTGCCCAGGTGACGCCCCACCACCTGCCCACCCACTTTCCAGGCTATCGTGCTGCTCGGGAGCAGCCTTCCCAGGTCATGCCTCCAATGAACCAGATGCCTCCCATGGCTCAAATGTCTCAAATGCCTCAAATGTCCCAAGTGCCTCCTATGACCTCCATGCCAGGAGGCAGTTACCCACCTACCGGCATACCAGATGGCCAGTTCAAGGAGCCACCGCCAGGATCACAGGATCATTACTACAACAACCAGCAATACAATGCCATGTACGGCCAACCGCGACCCAATTTCGACTACAATGCGAGCATGATGGGTCAGGAATCAGCTCCGGTGGCAGGACCCAGCATGTACATGAGACCACCACCTCCCCCCACAGCAGCACCACCACCACAAGGACCTCCACCTTCGTATCCCATGCGACAGGAGCGCCCAATGGCCCCCATTCTCTTCGAGGTGGGCGGCAATCGCAGTCATAGCACTGGTTCGCCCATGATGATGCAGAACGTGATGAGTGCCCACGGACATGGACGCGGTCGTGGTCGTGGTCCCAGTCGTGGTCCTAGTCGAGGTCCCCATGGCCACCACAATGCCTATGGCCAGATGAATCAGATGAATCAGAATCATGGAATGCCCTTCAATGGGCAGATGAACCAAATGGGACAGATGCCGCCGCACATGCGGAACCATCAAGTGAACCACCAGGTCAACCACATGGGCCAACCAATGGGCAGGGGAATGGGCATGGGCCTGATGCCCCTGCCCGTCCAGATGCTCAATCCGAATCGCATGGCCCAGCCGAATGTGCAGCAGGGAATGCCCATGAATCGCTCGACCATGAGTCCTCGCCAGTATGCCAATCACAATCCCAATGCGATGCCCAGCTATCAGCCTCAGCCGGAGATGAACAAGATGCCACCGATGGCGGAGGGAGGAGCTGCAGCTGGATCCTCCACACCTCGTGTGAATTTCGCGGCCAATGTGGCGAACAAGCCACGTGGTGGAACTCCACGTAACCAGGTGGGCACTCCGAGACCGGGAGCTCCTGTTCCTGCGCCGGTGGAAGTGGCTACTGGACAGCAGAAACCCATCCAACCTTCCTATGCCTCCATGCTGCAGTAAAAGTGGGATTTTAATAGTTCCTTCCATATGTCCTTTTTTTTCTCTTATTTTTTTTTGGTCAAATAAATCGCGCACAATCATTCCATATTCATATAACGATGTGCGAATGGCAAATCGCGGCTTTAGACATGGTTACCCCTCCTCCTACCCCTTTACTTCGTAATCCTGCGTATCCTGCGAGCCGAAAAATAAATGTATTTACGCCGTGGAATTCTCAAGTGGGCCACAAGGACGAGGGTGAACCCTTTGAACTAATCGGGCTAATCTTTTACGCTGCCTGCATTCTAAAGCGTCCTTTTGCCAGCCGCTGGCGGGGATTCAAAAAGGAGGTCCTGGCTGGGGTTAAAGAGCTCCCTGTGCATTTCGCATTTCGCATGCATGCTTATGGCTCCTCTCATGTGTGAGCAAATGTAATTAAATGCAAGTCGCTGCAAATATGAAGTAAATAAACATTTAAAGCGGGCTCCTGTGCTCTGTGTTTGCCCAACGCCCATAGTTTGACCAGACATTTAACGCTTCCCTGAACCTGAACCGCCGACCGCATTGGCTACATTTTTAATCTACAATTAACCACAGCTGCGGTGCAAGTGGAATTGGATTCGGAATTGGCATTGGATTCACTGAGGGCAAAAGGGGCAGTATCAATATTGATTCTATTAATTATAAAAACATTAAGTGCCGGCCAACAAATGTAATTAAACGCGTTAAACAATTGCAGCGATGGTGCAGTAATGGCAGAAAAATCCCAATCCCCGAGTGAAATCCGGAGGCCACAACGTCCTCGTTGCTGATGTGCGGCGATAAGCACGTTTTCAATTCGCACCGAGGAGCAGGAGGAGTCCATCCAGCCAGGTGGCCAACGGGAAAACAGAAAAAGGAGGAGGTGATCCGATTGTCGCACATTAATGACGAAATTATTGTTTCAATTGCTTTCAACCGTTGTCAATGCAAATTTTATGCAAATACTTTGGCGATTCGCAAAGGGCCGCCTGTTCTGGCCCGGCCTCTCTTAAATGCCATTGTGGCCAATAAGTCAATAATAATTATGGCCCCGCTGTCCATTGTTCTGGCCTACAATCCCCCTACTGACCTCCTCCACTGGCCATTTCGGAATAGGCGTTAATTACTTTTATCTGCCCGCGGCCAAACAAACAAAATAATAAAACTGCAACGCAACGTTTAGCGCCTGCGGCCCATAAACTCCCCTGGAGATATGCATATTTATTTATAAACAATTAATATTATGGCCATTGTTGTTGTTGCTGGCGGAGGAGCACGGGCTGCGCATAAATTAAGCCCGCCCAATTGTTATGCAAAATCGTCACCGGGGAGAGTTCAGTCCGGTAGATAAAGTCACTCGATCTGGAAACGTAAATTGTCTGTGCCCTTTTCATTGAGTAATTCGCGGTTTTTCTTTATTTTCTCTTATTTGGTTAAGGTGTGCTCTTGGCTTATTTGAGTTGGTATATATAAGAAATTTGGGTCATTATATGCCAAACACGAGCTTTAATACATATTTTTTATATACACCCAAAAAAAAAAATGGACTTACAACCCAAAAAATTGACTTAAATTAAGGACTAATTATGGACTAATTTTGGACCTAAGGAATCTTAGACTTGTTTTAAGTCCATTGTTGGACTTAACATACTGACTTGTTTTTTGAATTTTTTCTTTTGGTTTTTTTGCTGTAACTTGGCGTAAAATGGTTCTACACCAAAAATACATACTGTTTTGAACAGATAACATAATAATAAATAAATCCATAACACTTTTCATGTGATTTTGAATAAATAAAATTTTCGCGAATTTATAGGGGGTACCACATGATTTTTTGCGAAAAATTAAAAAAAAATAAAATGTCCTGGTTTAAATGCCAATCGATTGGAAATTTAATAACCAGTTCAAAAAGGTATGACAATCCATTTTGTATCAGCAAAAATACTGCTTTGTTTCAGCGAAAAGCCCGATTTTTTTTTTGGTTTTTTTTTAGTTTTTGACAAAAATTGAAAAAATTGTTTTTGTGGTTTTTCTATCGTCACTTAGGCAAATCAAAGATTTGTTGAAAGTTTGTTGTAAGACCGACTGTTTTGAGCAGCTAACAACCTAAACTAACGATCGCCTTTACTTTCTTTTTATTTTGGTCATTATTTCCATTGTTACAGCCAAAACAAGAAAGGAAGCTAGCTTCGGCCAGTCGAAGCTTATATACCCTTGCAGATCATTCCTATTAATTAACAAATCGCAAAAATGTTCAATTTTCTAATATTTCTCATTAATTTTTCGATCGTTCCTATGGCAGCTATATGATATAGTCGTCCGATTTTGATCAAATTAAAATTGAAATTCGGAAATATTTAAAAAGAGTCATATCCTAGAGTATAAGATAATACAATAAAAACCAAAGAAGCTAGAATTTATTTCCTATTACTTTTCCATTAATTTTCCGATCGTTCCTATGGCAGCTATATGATATAGTAGTCCGATTTTTTAAATAAATAATTCGAAATTCAGAAATATTTAAAAAATAACATCCCCAAAAGTAGAAGGTAATATTTCAAAAAACACCGAAGCTAGAATTTTTTAAAGTTTTTTTTTTCCGATCCTTCCTATGGGAGCTATAAGATATAGTTGTCCGATCCGGTCGGCTCCGACATATATACTACCTGCAATAGAAAGAAGACTTTTGCCAAAGTTTCGTCCCGATAGCTCAAAAACTGAGAGACTAGTTTGCGTAGAAACAGACAGACGGACAGACGGACGGACAGACGGACATGGCTAGATCGACTCGTCTTGTGATGCTGATCAAGAATATATATACTTTATGGGGTCGGAAACGTCTCCTTCACTGCGTTGCAAACTTCTGACTGAAATCATAATGCCCTCTGCAAGGGTATAAAAATGATATTTTTGGGCGAAAAATATGGATTCGAATTTTAGACAAAAAATAAACGGGTATTCTTTTGGTTGTTCAGTCGTAATTTGGACAAATCAGTTTTAAACAGCTTACAATCTAAACCATTAAACACCATTACTTTTCGAAAAATTAATTATTTGAAACTTGAAGTTATTGGTTTGAGTTCCAAACGATTGTAACTTAAGTTACGAAGTCAATGCGGAATAAGATTACATATTTGGACCATTTTAATGCTTCGGCCAAAATACGGATTTTTTTAAATACAAAATCAGGGTCTGTTTTTTTGGTAAAATTTTTGAACTTTTTATTTAATAAATAAAAATAGTAAGATAAGACACAAAAACAGTAACAGGCACAGGGCATATCATTTCCAGGGGTCAGTTCTTAGTTGTGGTCCAGTTTAAAAAGAGGAATCACTCGCTGGAAGTCAAGTGGGTGGACTGGATCCACAGTCCCTAGCTGGTGAGACTGCCTCCTTGCATGGGTCATATAATATAATTAATGCTATGAATTACTTGGGAGCTCCGCATCCTGCGCATCCTTCCGTTTGCTGGGTGGTTCATACGTGGCACATAGCACGATGATTTCCGTCCCTTCAAGTGTTCAACCTACAAAACAGCCACATCCTGATGCAAACGACGCACAAACTGAGGGACACTCGAGTGTGGAACCCCCGAATCCTGTCCCATCCAGGACATCCCTCCTCGTCCGGCCGCAGAGGGTCAGTTATCCTGGCTGCCCGGAGATTGGGGATTGGGGATATTCCAACACGTTGCTGCTTGGTCAGCCACATGCACTTAATTGCTTTATGAGGCGGTCACTCGCTTGTTATAGACTTCAATTTGATTTTTCTGCGAGTGGGAAAACGGAAAACGAGACGCAGGGGATCAATTAATTTACGGAGACTGCGGAGGCCGCAATGCCGCAGGATAGAGACGGCGGCGGAGCCGTTGACCCCAAATGATATTTTAAATGCAGATTTTGGCACCCGAAACGAAAGTTTTTTAATCATTCCGATGGCACTCTCCATCAGACCGGTTACTGCGATGATGATGACGATGATACCATCAGCAGGGTAATGATAATTGTGATGAGGATCGCAGGGATATGGGTCCTGCACGTCAGCAGGGCCCAACTTTTTAATGTCAGTTCCGCGCACTTTTCCTCCGAGGTGCGAAAAGAAATTGAGACAGAATCAGCATTCAGACTCGAATGCGGCATACCCTAGGCTACAGTTAGTATCTCCGGAGGATGTGCGAATATAGCTACCTCGATACCCTGCAGATACCCTGCAGTCAGGTGGGGAAACTTTGCCAGGAAACTGGAAGTTTGTAATGGCTTTTTGTTTGCGACTCACGCACACAAATCATTGCCCCGCAACCCTTACTTACTTTTTGGGTTTGGGTTTCCATGGCAAAGTCTCGTTTGATACAAGTTTTTCGCAAGCATTCCACTTTTTTCCTTTCTTTTCTTTTTTTCTCGCCGCCCGTGGCACATGTCTGAGTTCTGAGTTCAGGATTCCGGATTCGGGATTCTGGCGAACACTTAACATAATTTGCTGGACCCATGACAATCGACTGACCAGGACGAGATTGCCAGGACGACGGGGACAGTGGACCCTGGACTTGGAATGGCTCATCCGCATTCTGATTATATTAAAATTGTTGCACATCATTTGATTTGATTTAAGAGGAATGCCTTGCAAGTATTCAATGAAAGTGGGAAAGCGTAAAATGTGGAAAATGGTAACCATTGCTAAGGCAATTCCCCAACCCCTAGTATTTTTCCATATGGGCTCAGGGGGTTGGGGTACTACATGGTATTTCCATTTTGGCACTTAAGTCAGCCAAAGTCAATTATAATCAACGCCTCCCCAAGACACAAAGGATTAAAAAGCATCAGGAGGATACGGCAGACGTGTGAGTTTAACTTATGCAAAAGTGTTTCAAGACTTTCGGCTGATTGCCAGCCGAGTGGAGGTGGGTTAAGCAGCCGCCGGCAATTTCAGAAGGAGCTACAAAAAAGGAACACTCATATAGGATATACACACATATACCACACCTCCCGAAGGACCATCGTCTCT